TGCCTTGAGTGATGAAAGGAACGTTGTAGTGCGCACTGACCTTCAACCCTGATTGAGCAAGCAACTGTGAGCTTCTAATTGAAGTCTCTGAGCCTGGACCCCCCGTCTGTTTTCCGCTTTCCTTCTTTGCCCCTCCTCGCTAGCTGCGCCCGTGTGAGAAATGTCGAGCAGGTGTGGTGAGCGTGCGGCGGCGATTGCGGAGAGACGGTGGCCTTGCTGCGGGGCTGGTGACAGACTGTGCGGCGGGCAGGCTCCTACTTACCAGCGTCCGGCAGTGCGTCTCTGCCTGTGCGTCAATCGTGCGGAGCGAGAGTTGGAGAAGGAATGCGTGAGGCGCGTGCGGCGCCTGTGTCCTGGGCCAGCTACTTTCCCCCCCCCCCCCTTCTTTCTTCCCCTCTTTCTTCCCTTCCGCGCGCCGCCGCTGCGCGACGCCCCCCCAACCGCCTCGCACCGTGCTGCCCTGTGCACTGCTTGGTGATTTTGGGGGCGGAGAGCCTCAGCGCGGCATGTGTCGTGCTCGTTTCTCCCCTCCTGTCCTTGGGCAGCGGTGGCGGTCGACTGCGTTCGCGGATGAGGACAAAAGTTGTAGTGCGCGACTGAGTCTTGCCTGGTGCTGAGCAGCAACGACCGACGCAGTCGAGGCTGCGCCCTGCTGACGCAACGTTGTTGCGGCCTGCCGCCGCTGTGCCCCGCGTTCCCCATTGCACCTAAGGAGGAGGCCCGTAGCCACGGTGCCTTGCCTGCTCGGTGGCGCACTGTGGGTGGTGGCTTTCCGAGACGCGCCGCCCCTTCCCTCCCCCGCCGTGTGCGTCCCACTGCCGACGTGATGACTTATTCAGAGACGGATCCCGTAATCAGAGCACTGTGCACTGAAACGACACGATGACAATCCGTATAAATAGCTCGCTGAGACGGCGCCTGCCTCTCCCCCACCCAGGACGAAACGCATCACTGGCCGCAATGATGAAAACGTGTCTAACGACAGGCGGACCGACACACCAATGAGGACCCTTGAATGTGTACAAATGTTGAGCGACCCGCTTCCACCCTCCCCGTCTCCCCGTCCCTGTGCGGGAGGCGCCCCGCGCCCCACAGGACCCTCGGCCTACTCTCGCGCTTGCCGCGACGCCCCCGTCTAACACCCCGCGCTGTGGGTCCCATTCCCGGCGGGGTGATTTCAGGGGGCGGAGAGCCTCGGCGAAACGTCTACTGCCCTGGCTTGCCTTGAGTGATGAAAGGAACGTTGTAGTGCGCACTGACCTTCAACCCTGATTGAGCAAGCAACTGTGAGCTTCTAATTGAAGTCTCTGAGCCTGGACCCCCCGTCTGTTTTCCGCTTTCCTTCTTTGCCCCTCCTCGCTAGCTGCGCCCGTGTGAGAAATGTCGAGCAGGTGTGGTGAGCGTGCGGCGGCGATTGCGGAGAGACGGTGGCCTTGCTGCGGGGCTGGTGACAGACTGTGCGGCGGGCAGGCTCCTACTTACCAGCGTCCGGCAGTGCGTCTCTGCCTGTGCGTCAATCGTGCGGAGCGAGAGTTGGAGAAGGAATGCGTGAGGCGCGTGCGGCGCCTGTGTCCTGGGCCAGCTACTTTCCCCCCCCCCTTCTTTCTTCCCCTCTTTCTTCCCTTCCGCGCGCCGCCGCTGCGCGACGCCCCCCCAACCGCCTCGCACCGTGCTGCCCTGTGCACTGCTTGTGATTTTGGGGGCGGAGAGCC